CCAAATGGAACAATACTATGTGTGCCAACTTACAGCAAGGGAGAGCTGTTCCTCAGTTTCGGGAAGGAAAACCTCATCAAAGGTAGGGGCCTTGTAGGACGACCAACGCGTCGTCTTTTCGCCGAAGCTAGCCCAGGACTTATCGTGTACCAGGCTAGAAACTTCCATCGGCCATACGATTTGAGAATCGTTGCGAGGATACAATGTTGAGAAAGTCAGGGGCGTGCTTGATGCCGTCTGGATGAAGGCCAAAAGAGCCGGTAGGGCTTGAAAGATCGCGTGGCGGGCCATTTCAACTACTATGGGAACGAATGTGCGTGCGTCTTCTTGCTGTTCAGGTTTCTTGGATAACAAATCAAAAAGATTAGATTTTGAAACGAGGTCCTTGAACTTTTATATCCTTCCCACTCGTAACTGTTCACGATGGTGGCTTGCTGTGCCTCAGCCGCCAGGCCCCCCATCATCAGATATGAAGCCATTGTAGGGCCATCGTGGATAGATTGTTTTGCTCCTGAGAAGGGGCGCAGCGCTTTCAAGCGATGCCAGGCTCTTCTGTGTGCCCCGAAGTGGTGATAGTTTGGATGAGAACATTGTAGGATTCTTCAGTCAGGGCTCAGCCGCTACCCTTCCCAACCCGATTGGGAATGGTTTCTCGTTTGGGGGCCTCGGTAGGCTGAAGAATAGGGCCCAGTCTCAATCCAGAAGCCGTACTTTGCGAGGTGTAATTTATTTTGGTCGAATCGAGGCCCCGAGGCGCAATCCAGAGGCATTGTATTCGTCCCTGAGGGATCACTAGTTCGAGGCAGCCGCATTCACCGATCCTTCCGTCCCGATAAGCGGATATACTAAGACCATATGAAGCTTGTAACACAGGGCTGTGAGTACTTGAGCGCTTAAGGCGAAGCCGTGACAGCCGTTCGGGACTGAGGAGCCAAACGCAGCATTTCCGATGGGTGCCTGCCTAGAGCGGATAGCCCTTGCGTGAGACTGACCGGGACGAGAGGGAACTTCAGTTGATTCTGCAAGGGCGGCGTAGCCAGCATCGATGATCCGGACGACGAGGGGCGACAAAGATGGGCGTTCGTCCCAAGACCCTCACCCCCCTCACCCCCCTCCTGGTCCGCCCGAAGTAGCGAATCGCTTCGCATGGCCTCTAAAAGGTGGGGCCGGTCTGGAACGAAGAGCGAAGAACATGATAACAATAGTATCACTTGTTCCTAGTTCGAGTTCTCACAGATTTGTGGCTTACTGGGCTTCTTGATCGTTGACTCGGGTCCGCAGGGCTGACAACTCGGGCCCGAGACCCACAAATCTAACTCGGGTCCCGGGCCGCGGGGCACTAGTTTCCGGCAAAGCATACTCCGCACTAGACCGGAACCTGTCGAATGCCTAGTCGGACGTCAAGTGAAGCCTAATTTGCGCAATCAAACCCATCGTTATTTGGTAAATCAAGCTGTTTGAGAGGTGACATCGAAATTCCGAACACAATTCTTACGACCCTCACATTCCCCAACTTCGACGTTGATAGAATTCCTACCTTAGCAAGCCATGGGTTCAGCCACAGAGATTCCAGCATACACCAGAAAGACCGTCTTGGTCACTGGAGCAGCTGGTACACTCGGCCAAGCGACTGCAATCTCGTTTGCTGCCGCAGGTATTGCCCGTCTCGCCCTCGTTGACCACGTCAACGTTTCGGATACCCACGAAAAGGTGGTCCAGGCAGCCATCGACGTCGGTAAACCGGCACCCGATGTGCTTGCTTTAACCATCGATGTCTGTGATGCCGCGAGCGTCGAAGCAGGCGTGCGAGAGGTGAGCTCGATGTGGGGTCATGTCGACACTTTTGTCAACATCGCAGCTTCTTCGCCTAAACCCGTCATCCCTCAGGGCGATGTAACTGGATTGAGAGACGTGGATACCTGGTGGAAGGTCTGGGAGGCCAACGTCAAGGGTATCAGTCTCATGGCTCGGGCCCTGGTGCCCCTTCTTTCGCGCAGCTGTGAAAGGACGATCGTGAATGCGGTTCCTGTGTTCTCCGTCAATCCCGCGGCGCCTCCAAGCGACAATCAATTGTCTGTGTTGGCCTCTACGCGGCTTTCTGAGAGTTTGATGCTCGACTTCGCGCATGAGGGCGTCCTTGTTTACTCTGTGAACCCAGAAATCAATCTGGAGGGAAGAATGCCAGAGGCCACGAGACAAGGTAAGTAAAGCTAGTGACGATCCCGGTTCCAAAGTATAAGAATGTTCTGGGTTAATGCTGATACTTGCCAGTAATCAATACTGAATGCGGCGATGTCATTGTCCATTTGACCGGCAAGCGGCGCGAATGGCTGGCAGGGAGACATATTGGGAGCGTGGAGGACTTGCTTGAGCTGCAGGTCCGTGACGAAGACTTGGATGGCAATCCTCTTCCAAAGATGCAGCCTCCAATTGAGATAGTTTCTTTCAAAAGTGAAACTTTTGTGCCGTCCTGGACATCCAGGAGGGGAAGAGTGCCTCGTAGTAGTTACTGAGGAATTTAGTATATCGTTTCTACCGAGGACTGATGGTCTTTCTTGGTTAAGGCATGCACGACTTAATGGGCAATGTCAGGGGAACTCAGAATGAACTGTAACCGGCGTTTTATCTACGAATGTAAGCTGTTTCTTTGGTGTTTCTATTTCTTATTGACGTTATACTGAAGGCTTATAACCGGGGACTTTGATAACAATGTGATCGTTCCCACTCTATAAACGTTTTTTTTTGCAAATTTAGTAGACTTGATGTATTCTGAAACACATCATAGGATATAGCCAGCTCCTATGGTCTACTTACCTAAGGTACATAGCATTGAGTAGTCTTATTTGAAAGCAGCCAACATCTATAAACGAGCATCAGTATTCAAGATTTAGGATTGATGTGAAGTATTTGGCAGAAGAGAATGCATTCGAGTAAAAGTAAATTAATCAGGGTATCTTATATCCCCTACAGCCTAACTTCCTAAAAGTCAATATCACGTCTACGAAATCTGAGAAATACATCCAGGCTGCACCTGCTCCAGCTTGGCAACGAGTTCCTTCCATGTCGCCTTCTGCAAGCGCTGGCCCTCATCGTTACTAACCCAGTCTGGCACCCAGAACTCCTTGATCTTACAGCCTGAAAGAAGCTTTCCATGACCCTCCGCGCCAACTACCAGGCCGTGCAGGATGGTGCGACTGCCCACTTCCGCTGTGCGGGCCATCATAGCCCGGACCGCCTCATGCATGATCTTGGTAAATGTCCTCGCATCACGTCCCAATCCGGTGGTGCAGAGACCAGGGGCAACCATAGTAATGACCACGCCCGTGCGGTTTACGGGAAACTGGGCCGCAAATTGACGAACAGCAAATTCCTCGACGAGCTTTGTGAGAGCGTATCTGGTAATTCTGCGTCAGTCCCGCAACATGCCGCCTTTTCTTTCTTGGACCTTCCTCTGACGTACCTTGAGTCCATGTTTGCGCGTTTTTCGTCGTTGAGTCCGTCAAAGACGCTCCCATTGCGACTCTTGTCCATCTCCGCCTTGACGGTGTATCCCAACACGCTGACAATGAAGACGAGTGTTGGCTTGATACTGAACTTGCGAGCGCTTTCGCTCAGCTTGGGCATCATCAAGGCTCCAAGGAACAACGTGTTGACGACATTGACGAAGATACTGCTCTCGACGCCTTCGAAAGTCTCCCACTGGTCGATCATGATGCCGGCATTGCAGACGAAGCCGTCAATCCTGTCCAGCTCCTGTGAGATCTGCTTGGCAAAGGTTTGAACGGCAGCATAGGTTGATAAATCCAGATGCCGCACCTTTTGCCACCAGGGTTCTAATGTCAGTCTGTTTTTCTCGGCCGTCGGTGGTTGGGGAAAATCGAGGTCACCTGTACGACGCCCTTGCGTCCCGTCGACTTCTCGATATCTGCCTTAGCTGTTTCTCCAGCGCTAAGATTCCTCACTGCCAGGACAACTGTCGTGGCGGACGAAGCGACTAGGTGTCGCGCAGTCTCCAGGCCCAAGCCGGAGTTGCCTCCGGTGATGACAAAGGTTTTTCCCACGCATGAGGACTCGTCCACCAGGATGGGGAGCTTCCTGTACTGCTCTGCAGTCAACCGTAGCATCACCATCTTTGCAAGTATTATTCAAAAAACGAATTTACGTATTTGAAGATTTCTCGGAATGACAGAGAAAGTAGACTTTGGGGCGAATTCAAGAAGGGCGATGTGCACGGAGTCTTGGGTATGCCGGAAGACACGATACCGGCGTGTTCACGACACGGCTGTCATCTTTTATATCCAAAGCAGGCAGCATCTTACGAAGTCTTCCAGAGACGAAGGTAGTGCCAAGGCTACGGCATGGTCTCGGAACCACAATGGATCCAAAGCACATGGCATCATTTTGTTCAGTCAGGATGTGAGTTCAAGTTAGAAGTGGCCAATCACAGGAACAGATCTAGATCTATCCGATGTGGGGGCCCCTCGGCAGCCAATTAGATATCGCTTTCCACTCTAAGACTAGCGTCTACGGACCGGTCCCTCCTGCCGACCTGTACCCCGAGCCAATCAGATATTGATTGCCTCTTCGGGAAGCGGACGGGGAAATACAAAGATCAAGTTCCTCCATCCTCGGACTTTCGTCCAATGAAATATGCTCAGATAAGACGATAGTATCCACCTCTCGGATACTTAGCTTGCGGCTCCACTGTCAGCTTATATGTATCCGTAGACTTGCACATGAAGGGGTATTGAATCCTTCCACGTCGTAGAACCCTTGAAATGATACTTCAAGCTACCTAAACAAGGTAGTCTGCGTTGCGTGATCCCTCCAGCCTCAACCGAAGTACTTTGTACGGGCGACTGCAGGCCCAGCCCGCCCGGTGTATTAACAGGGAGCAGGCTCCTATCGCCTTACCCGTCCGCCACCCATTGGCGGCTTGGCCCAAGGCTCCTCCGTGCCTGCATGTGCACATTGAAGACTTCCAAGCCTTGATAGCGTGACTACCTCTGTGTAAACAATGATTCATTGAGTGCCTTACATTTTCTCTGACCTGCGGCGCAGTCTACCCTCGTACTGCGTGTGGTCCGTAAGACCATCCTCCCTCCATGCATCCGAAGGGGTCCCTGTCTATCTAGCTCTAGACCCTTGTCATAATATCCTCGAGAGCGCCAAGAACCAACACATTTCTCAGACAGAATTTCCAACAAATTAGACCTCTTCTGCCTCCATGTAGCTATCAGATTCAACTTCGTCCCTTGTCGTTCCGAGATGTCACCTGCGCCAGCCAGCTCGTCCGGAGGCGACGGCTGAGTAAGGGAGAGCTGGCCTGTACGTGGATCTGACAGACAGCTAGCGCGGCAGGGCGTGCATACCGTGCCTTACCGGTCGGGAACCTTCGTCTGATTTATCCGTCGTCCCCCGGAGGAATTGGACCCTTGATCCGGAAACGTGTCGCGAACTTGCGGGGTGGGTTGAGGTGACGACGAAACGGGGAAAGCAACATCCACATCACCCAGGCATGCACGAGATTCGATGGCGAAATCTATGGTCTGACAGGATCTGGGTCAAATTGGGCATATTCTAAGCGGCTCTTCTGCGCTTGCTTGAGCTGCCTAATGTGACGCTACCTTCTTGGGTTCCCGTATAGGGCTAGCCGTCTGGCGCCCGTTGCGGTATCAAATCATACGACAGGATGGTTCATCTAGAATGCTGCAGATACAACCGATTCGAGGAAGTTGAAGGATTGCATAGTGTCACACCAAGCAAATTTACTACATACCAAAAAGAAAACCCCTTTGCCTAGGAGCCTGTAGAAATGGTCTCGGTAGGATTAGGTGATGACTGGCGCATACATGTAGCATTGGCTTTCATCTCCTCTGCCCGGAAAAGGCGACCCCTGCTTATTGTCGCTACCGCTGTTGCAGAATACACCGAGCTCCAGCCTCTGAACCGAAGTTCTGCATGCAGAACTGCGCTCATTTGATTCCTTCGCTTACGAGCCAGGGCGCGGCACAGTGGAGGTCCTCGAAAGTAGGCTGCGCTGGGAAACGATGGAGGCGCGTTCTAATCATCGCCCCCGTTCATCATATATCTATCTAGATACCAGCTCACATGCGGTGCGTCCTTCTCCATAAGAGCGAATCAGACAGTGAACCTTTGTAGACCATTTCAAGCTTCAAGCTGTCTTCATAGAACACTACTGGCATCTGCTTATCTTGTCCTCGCTTTTGCATAAAATCCGGAAAACAACATGGCTCCTACCAGGGAAAGAAGATGGTGGACGAGCCAAGAAGATGACATACTCAAACGAGAGGTGCAGGGAAAAAGTACCAACCCCATCTCCCCCCTTGTTACGCGTGCTGCCAAATCTAACAAAGATCTCCATCTCCCAGTGCGCCAAGGCGGGAGCGTCCAAAACTGGAACGACATCGCCATGTCATTACCGGGCCGTACCAACAAGGACTGCCGCAAGCGGTGGGCAAAGATCCAAGTCGATATTCGAAAAGGTGCTTGGACACAAGAAGAAGACGAGAGGTTGCAGAAGGCCGTGGTGCAACTCGGGTGCAAGTTGGTTCACCCCACGCTTCCCTATTACCCATTTCTCGGGTCTCATCAATGCTAACCTCCACCCTTGTCATAGATGGTCACAAGTAGGGGCCATGGTTCAAAGTAGAAATGCCGACCGTAAGTAGAAATCAGCGTCGTTAATATCCCACCATTGTTTCCCCTTCAGTGCTGATGTGCATCCTTGCTGCAGAATGCGCGAAACGTTGGCAACATGTATTGGGACCCGACGTTAAGCATTGTTCATGGACCCCCGAGGAGGACAAGAAGTTGTTGGACGCGATGGGCACGTTTGGAAACAACTGGAAGCAGATTGGTCTTACCGAGCTGCCGGATCGTTCCACCCACGATCTACGCAACAGGCAAGTCGAAAAATCTGAGCCATCTGCATGGATATACGGCTGACCATAGCTCACAGGAGTCTCATTCTCGGCCGCAGAAGTCGACATGCACAAGCTAATGACTCGAATTCCTCTTCACGGTCATTACCGGAGACCCATGACGAGGAAATGGCCAGCAGTAGTCCTGACGTTAATGATGAGGACGAGAGTTGCGAGGGTGACGGTGACGACGTATTTGATGAAGGTTCCGAGTGTGAAATGACCGACTCAAGCGGAAATCAGAAGCATCAGCTCGTGATGGACATGAGTCTCCTGTCCGAAGAACCAGTGGAGGCAACAGAACTCGGGCCCACGTCTACGATTATACCAGACTACCGTCACTCAGACACATTCTTGGCAGTACCCGCTCTGGAGTTGCCAGGTACTACTTTCGACATGTTCGACCCGAGCTGCATAGGCACCTCAGATCACTCATCGGGGAATTCGGCTATTCAAACTCCGGATAGCGATTGGATGTCTTGGCTCAATTCGCTTGAGAATGACACCTCAGTTTCGCTGGAATCCCGGCCCTCATGGTGGGATGAAGGTCCTACTGATCAAAGTTACTTTCATGACTCTAGCTATGGAAGTTTTGATGTCAACACGGCTGGTATTTCGGATACTATTCATATCTCAAGAGCAAGGAAACGTGTCAAAGGCGAGGCTTCTCCAAGAGCTTCTCTCGGGTCAGTGACTCGCGCTGAGAACCCATCGAAGCACAATGGACAGATGGGTCTTGTCACTTTGTCTCTGGACCAAGTAGACCCGATAATCGCCAACGAGATAATAGGAAGCGTCATGAAGCACAGCGCTGGTCTCAAGATCAACTGTACCGTCAATAATCACCCATAAGTCTCGAGTAGTGTATAATACGCATGTATATATATTTGTAGCGCGCATACGCGACCATATTGAATGGATGAACTCATGACAACTCCTCATAGAAGGCAAATTGATGGCGTGACACATCTTTTTTGTCTCTCGATACTGCTGAAATTATGTGCCAAATCTTTGCACACATGATCCTCGACAGACATCGTCATAATTCTGGTCCAGGAATTTCAGCAAGGACCCGAGTTCTGCTACTTCTGCGCCCAGCGCAGTAGCCCGACTTGGGTCCAAGTACATCTGATTGGTTCAATCAAATGCCCTATTGTTTGTAGTGAGTGTGACAACAAATATCGAGTTGTTCTTGATGGTGCCACTGGCATACCACTTCAGAATACACACGGTGGCTGCCACAATCCAAGTTATCCTATCCTACCATCTTCCCCTGTCATCCGGATACCTATGCGCCAATGTCGTCTTTCAGAACGCCCAAGGTGAGCCTAGAGCTCGCTTCAACGTCCGGCCTGCGAACGCTTCCCGAATTGGTCGACTTCCACGCCAAAAGCAACCCCAAGCACCTATTTTGTCTCCAAGCCGACGCAAATGCGGCTGGAAACGGCCACAATTTTGTGCCCTTGAGCTATGAGACGCTACAGCGCGCCATCATCCGCTGCCAGGCATGGCTCAAGGAACAGGCAACCAGTCTTCATGCACCGAAGACTGAAGCCGATGGTAGCGTGAATAAATGCGCCCCCGTCGCGGTGCTCATGGAGAGCCATGTTGGCTTGGTCATCTGTGTGCTTGCCTGTATGGGCATGGGCGTGCCAGTTGTCCTCCTGTCGGCGCGTCTGAGTGCGCCGTCCGCACGACATCTTATCCGCGAAACGGGCGTGAAACTTGCTCTTGTGTCTCCGCGCCTATTGCCCCTTGCTTTCGAGGCAGTTGGCGCTGAAATTCAAGATGGAAAAGAGATCCCTGATGAAAGCACGATCATGATCCGCTCTATATCCGGCTACGAGTCGTTCCTTGCAGATGAGCCCGCAGAAGACCAGAGTCACACCTTTCGCGCTGCCGATGCGGATCACTACGTTTCGGAAGATGATCGCCAGGTTCTCATCCTACATTCCTCAGGGACTTCGGGTCTCCCAAAGCCGATACCTTGCTCTCATCGATACTTTCTGAGCTACGCCACATGCCACAACTTCGAATCGACCAAAGAAGCTCATGGACTGACGGTCTCTACACTACCGTTCTTTCACGTAAGTTAACAGAAGAAACGAATCTATTTCCAGTGTCGCATCTGACCACAGATGCAGGGTTTTGGCTTCGTATCCGTCTGCCTGTCCCTCAATATCGGCAAGACATTTTGCGCCCCTGTACCTTCCACCATCCCCAACGGTGCCAGCATCGCAGCCCTCATAGAGGACTCGCAAGCGAAGGCGTTATTGACAGTTCCGTCTATCTTGGAGGAAATTGAGGGCTTGCCAGATGGCAGAGGACATGATATCCTTCGCAAGCTAGATTACGCGGGCTTCGGTGGCGGCAGACCCAAAACCTCGGTCGGTGAGAGACTTGAACGTTCGGGCGTGAGACTCGTCGGCCAGTACGGTGCGACAGAGACTGGTCCAATGACACCTTTTTTCGTGCCCGGCAAGGAACACGACTGGCGTCGACTGCGACTGCGTGCTGATATACTCGGACCGCTTCAAGTGAAGCTTGACCTCATCGATGCAGATGCAGAAGAGAGTGCGCAGACCGAATCCGAAGCAGAACGATCTTACAGCTACAAGCTGAGCATGAAGCCGTTTGGGTGGCAGGAGCGCTTCGAACTGCAGGATATAATCGTAGCACGCACGGAATGCGCCTCGGCCGATGACGTGGGACAGCTGGATTTTGTGATTACGGGCCGCAAAGACGACCTGATCTGTCTTGCCACCGGAGAGAAGGTGAGGCCAACGATATTGGAATCCCTGCTCAGACAGCATGAGGACGTGAGAGACGCAACTGCTTTCGGTGAAGGACAGTTCGAACTCGGTGTCATTATAGAGCCTGTCAGGCCCGTCGAACCCAGCGAGATGGTCAACTTCAAGGCGTCGATCTGGCCGGCAATTGAGGAAGCAGGCCGTCAAATGGATGCTCATGCAATAATTACATCGTCTACCGCGATTCTCGTCGTCGCTCCCGAAGCGCTCCCGAGATCAGACAAGGGCACTGTTCTCCGGAGCGCAGTGTCAAGGAAGTTTGCCGATGAGATGGCGGCAGTCTACCGTGATCTTGAGGCAAGCATGGTTGCACCACCAATCGACCTATCTTCGCCTGCGTCCAGTATCAGAAATCTCGTTACCCAGGACGTTCTGGGGTTAGACAACGGCCGTGATTGGGAGGACGACGATGATTTCTTTTCAGGCGGCATGGATAGCCTTCAAGCGACGAGACTACGAAGACTGCTGACGGCTTCACTGCGCGCAACGTATGCCGCCTCTAAGCCTGGGACAGCCAACCTCCTCTCCACGGACATGATTAAAGATGACATCGTCTACCGCAACCCTTCTGTGAATAAGCTGGTTGAGACACTGATTCCCAGTTCGTCCAAGACAAATGGAGTCATTACCGAAACAAAGCTTATCGAACAGCTGGTGGACAAGTACTCCAGCAGAGGCAACCACCGAGAGCAGCGAAAATCCGTGGTATTGCTCACGGGCGGCACTGGCAGTCTCGGGTCTTTCTTCGTTGGTCGGATCCTTGCGGATGATAACGTGAGCAATGTCATTTGCTTGAATAGACCTAGAAAAGGAAACCCTACAGAAGCTCAGAAACATGCGGTAACGTTACGAAAAGTCTCTGTCGATGAGAACGCTTGGAGAAAGTTGGAAGTCCACGAAACAAATACTGCAGATCAGTGGCTCGGCTTGCCAGAGGCCGAGTACCTGCGTCTCGCGGCTAGGGTAACTCACATCGTACATATTGCGTGGCCCATGAACTTCAAAATGGGTCTGCAGTCGTTCGAGGCTTCATTCTCAAGCTTGCTGAACCTCATCCAGCTAGCGCGCCAAGCGAGCATTCACCGGGCACAGAAGCCAAAGCTGTTACTGGTATCCTCCATTTCTACGGTGGGGAACTATCCGTCAATCAAGGGACAGACTTTGATTCCCGAGACGTCTGTCGAGGATCAAAGCTGGACGCTAGATCTCGGCTATGCCAAAGCCAAGCTTGTCTGCGAGAAAATCATCGAACGCACGGCACAGGACCATCCTGAGATCGAGGCGGCGGTGGTCAGAGTCGGCCAGATTGCCGGCTCTAGCACCGGCTACTGGAACGCTTCTGAGCACTTTGTAGCCCTTTGTGCTTCTTCTCAAAAGCTGGGGAAATTTCCCGACCTGCGTGGGGTAAGTCAAGATGTCAAATAAAAGGCTGTTCTGCTAGCTTGAACATTGGGGCAATTCCATTTTGCTAATAAACTTTGCTAGACCTTGTCGTGGCTGCCGGTCGATTTAGCTGCCGAAGCCCTCAGCGAGATTCTCTTCCATCAAGAACCACTCAGTGCAGTCTACCATCTAGAGAACCCAGCCCGGCAGAGCTGGGAGGAAGTTGTCAGACTGATGTCTGAGGAACTACGGATAAACAGGTCGTCCATCATCCCGCTCGAGGCCTGGCTCGACTTGGTGGATACTGTACCGGAACCAGGCAACCCTGCTGCAGGTCTCACACGATTCCTTCGAGAGGATTTCGCCAAAATGTCGTGTGGATTTGTTGTCCTGGATACCAGCAATTCTCGCAATGTGAGTTCGACCTTGGCCAATATGACGTCGGTGGGGGAAAATTTGATCAGGGCATATGTCTCCTACTGGAAGAGTATCAAAACGTTGGCGTAGATACCTGACGGACCATTAGCTCTGGACTTATTGATATTTGGTGTTCTAAATGAGACCAAAAGCTTTATCATGTCTCGATCTCAGAATGCAGAACAGTACTATAGCTCGACTTGGTCATCTTGTTTTGGGCACTGGGTGTTTGCATGTTCAGTCTGATGAAATTAGACCATCGGCAGACATTGCGGCTACCAGATCACGTTCTGTCTCAAGTTTCTGCTCGGCGACCTCGACATGCTATTTGCCGCTGTACTTTTGGGGCACAATGACATCACAGAGATAGCGTCGTAGGTAGTCAAAGCAAGGGGAGGAAGAGGTCGCAATCCTGAGTGAACCAAATATTTATATTAGGTTTAGCCTGAGTTCCTCATACATAATTCCATACCGCAAATATTTCTAGCCCTACGTGTCAGCCGATTTCAATCATTTCAAATGTAGTTTAGGGAACCGTACCTTGCGGCTGTTAAGGTGTAAGCGTGCAACCCAAGTCCTTATTGCATGTGTTCAAACACTTCTCAAAGACGGCATTGCTTCCTTTCCCAAAGAAGCAATCTTTGCGGCAAAGATCGCACTATAACATGTTGGTCAGCGTTTGCGTTAAAAAGGCAGGGGGCATAGCTAACGTACAGCTGTATTGGTTGTCTGGCGAATCTCGAGACTAGCAGGGCTGGCGAAGGCAACGCCTGCAAAGAGAGCAAAAATAATGGTAGACAGTTGCATTTTGTAATGGAATAATATCTTCGGTCAACGAAGGATTTCGCAGCTTGGCAATAGTGAAGGAGAATAGAAGAGAGAGTTGCTAACAACTTTGTTTAGAGAGTGAACAGATATACAGTGTTCCTTGAAGCTTGAGAGAGATTGAATGCGTAACTCATCTTAACTAGGTATCCTGAGAGAACAATCCGGAAGTATTTAACTGAATACCTACATGGAGTTTTTGGCAGGGGCTCTTTCGACGTTTGTCTAGGTCTGGGTGGCCTGACTAGATGTTCTGGACAGCTGACACAAACCTGACACAAGGCACGGTTGAGTCTCGGAAAGTGCCTGCCAAGGATCCAGCGAAATAATAGCATAATAGAGATGTTCTGGTGATCAAGTGGCCTACTTGGTACGCTGTAGTTCTGTTCTGTACGTGAAAACCCCCTTGTTTTCACGTTCCGGCACCATTGTCAAGACGAACTCTCGGCCATCACTGGTGGACCAGCACACTGGGTCACTGAGTCAAGTAGTTCATCCGGACAACGCGATAATCAGCAGGGCAAGAATAGAGTTTTTGTCAAGCATTTCAATAGCTCGGTTATCAAATTTGTGAAACAAAGAAGGAAGGCCTTGATATAGAAATTCGGTCTGCCCCATCTCTCTTTACTTATTACTCGTAGGCTCAGGCCGTCCTTAGTCGAAATAACTTCGTATAGCAACATCATATTGATGTTGCATATGTCCATAATCTCAACAATGCTCGTTTTCTTTTTCATTCGATTTTAAGAACTCTTATTTCGGGCTGTGATGATAGCTCTCGAGATTCAATAAGGATTCGACCGGCAACTAATTACGCAATTGAATGTCTATCAACGCTGTATCTGCAATCATTCTTGATTACTCTCATACCGCATGACTCATAACTCACTTAAACCGTGCGGAATCTTAGTTTTCAAGACTCGGTCTCGCAGTTTCCTCAGCGTGAATGGCGACTATGCTTGAGCAATACGAATTGAATAGTCAATAGGTCCTAGGAACAATGCAGTGGGGAGGATTGCACGTCATGACATTACTCGTACACCCACTAATTACACCGCCACAACAAGACAGAGTTTGACCTCAAACGTCAAGAAATGTTCAGTTCCGCCTGAAACCTTCCCCGGAAGCAATCAATTATCCGCCAAATATCGGAGACACCGGCAGCCCACCGGTAACCCACTAGCACCTTTACTATAATCCCACTCTTCTGAGCAGACATCAGCATCCAGAGAAGAAAAGTTGCCTGCGTGTCCCAAGTATCCGTACGGTCAAGATCGACATATAACATCTATCACGGAACAAGGATGGTTTCAGCACTCGTCAGGCAAGCTATCACGCGCTTCAACACGTGAATTCCATTCGCTTAGTACATAAACTACCATCTTTTCTTCGTTCTGGTTGGATTAATACCAGCTGCTTTCAATACCTTTATATACTCATTGCTGCGTGTCATCACCTGCCACAACATTTTGCCAGGTTCCACTTGCTGGCCAGTTACGAAGACAACAGCGGTAAGGCTTCCTTGGTCAACACTCAACGGCGAGGCAGCCTAAGAGCTTTTTACTGACTGCCTGCAACGCTGCTGGCGACTGCATGATGTCTTGCCTTGACGAGAGAGGGATCCCGAGGATCCAAGGCGAATTGAGCAATGACGATAGCAGATAAAGGAACTTGAGAGCCTTCTTCCCTAAGCTTAGCTCAAGGAAGAAAAGATGCATGTTTTCATATGCTGTGTCTTACATATTGATGTGCTTGAGTAGTATGTTTAAGTCATAAATGATCGCACATTGAATACGGCGCTTTGTGTTCGGCGATGTTGAAAGTCAAACATTGAAGCGAAGTCGTAGTAATGGCCGTAAACAATTACTCCTTGGGGTATGTATACCAAATTTCTTTCCAATGCTGACACTACACGGTCTTGGAACACATGCTTATATGCTAATTGAGATCGGTGTTACTGTCCCTGATATATCACACAGGTTCCTGGGAGCTTCTCTGAAACATCTCATCAGGCTATCCCATTAAATACTAAATGGCATATAAATATAGGTACTCTTATAGAGGGCGATACCTGATTGCTGATTAATTCAATCTATTTTGTGAATGATTTCGAAATACAATAGGGCTACCAGGAGAAACAGTAGTGCCGGACATGATGACGCTGTTATTTCTGGCAGTCGATGGGCTGAATATGGGCCTCATCATATGATGCTTTCCATCAGATATGGCCTGTGGAGGGTACTTCTCGTGACGGCAGACCAGAAATGACTGCAATTGTGCGAACGCTGGTTACGAGGTGTGCCAGGCTGTGTGGCATGCAACCAGGAGCTCATTGGAAGAGCAATCAATCCAAAATCTTGAGCTAGGCATTCTTCTCCAAAGGTCAGGCGTATTTCTGATTTGCGGTTTAGTCGTTGCAAATTCCGACGTCCTTCTGCTGGGCCTCATTCGTGCATGTCACTTGCCCACCGTCCAGGTCGTCTCAAGATCAGGCTGTAAGAGCTTGTGGCTTATCCCTACAAAGCCAGCTACTTTCGCCCTGAATGTCACTTCGAGACCATAGGCAGTCGGATGGTTGCGACTTGAGACCGCCGACTTGAGCACTGGAGCATCATCAATTGGAAAGCCTATCGTCCGGGTCCCGAAATTAGACGACGGCACTATCGCACCAAGTCCGTCGAGGGGCCGCACTTTCCATCTTAATGGCCTCAACATGGAGTCCGATAGACGGTTCCTCTCACGGTCACAGCATGTCGCCGATACCTCTTCGCCCATATGGCACAGAAGAACATGGCATGCTTGACCGCGACGTATCGCGGAATCTTTTGCATAGAAGCAGCAGTCACGGCAGACCTGGCATCACGCCTATAGGTTCCAACACACGCCTCAGTCAGCTTTCTGAGATCTTCCACTGCTTGACAAACTAACGATGAAGAAGAGATTCTACTGCTCGGACCCAGAGATGGCTATACTGTTCTCCATCTGCCTCGCCTTAGGAATATTGGTGGTTTCCCATGAATCCATCTCTTGGTATCTTGGTGTCGGTAACAACCAGCTCATTGTCGTCGGATTCCTGCTCAGCATCATGAGTATATGCTTAGGCAGCGTCGCGCCGAACCTGTTCATTCTCATAGAGGCCATATTTGGCGAGTCCACTATCCAGAACTACGACGAGCTTCTGCGCAACAAGCCTACCGCCTCGAGACTTGGTGTGTCTTGGAGAGTGGCACTCATCCTCATGTTGGCTCTTCCCATTGCTCTCAGCGTCGCGTACAAGACCTTCACTGTTGGCGAGAGTCGGATGGATATCGACAGCTTTGACTACATCTCCAACAAGACCTATTATGGCATGTTCCAGCCGCCTGGCATACTTTTGTTCAACGGCGTCTCTAGGTTTTTCAACGCAACCACGGCTTTTCGGGAAGCCACAAAACTCAGCTCAAATGGCCCTGAGCCACCTTTTCCAACACTGCCGAGCACATATGGCTACAATATCTAACTATTGAATGAAACAAGCGCCACGGCGCTTGATACTATCCAGGCATTTTATGTGGTCGCAATACAGGAGCGTCTCGCAATAGGTGAATCATGGACCATCACTGCACCGGTGACAGGGACAGTAGCCACCTTCAATAAGATGATGGACTCGGATCGACAGACATTCGGAAGCGACTTCGTGTCTCATTGTCTGAACAGAAACGCCTGGGACTTCGATACCAAAGACATGTTCGACGGGTGGTCACTCACCGCCACGAACCGGAAATCTGACTCGGATCAATCGATACAGTGATATTAGACTGGAACCAGTCAACCCGAAATGTGAGTCCATTTCCAAGCATATCTATCTGTACAACACCTACCGGCAACAATGCAACGGAACTTGATCAGTCACACAAGGCCGTTTTTAGCTGCTGAGCGGCCGTTGCGACGATGAAATCTTGGCTTGACCTCGGCAACTTCCATCTACATTCACATATCTCGCACTAGGGTCTTGGTACATGCTTCCCTTAATAGAAATGCTAGGCCCATTCTGCGGAAACAACAAAACATGTAACAGAGGCATTCAGTCCCGTTGGATGCAGCCATGTATGGCCACATCGGTCGCTGCGATGCTGTGGTCAAGGAACGCAGTCATGAAAGGCTCGGGGGCCTTCAACTCGGAAGAGTTCAATATGAGTTCTATGCCCTGGGAGTTGAAAAATGAGACCAAAGTACCTTACGAAGACGTCCGAGTCAAGTACAGAGTCCATCAAGCCGAGCAGATCATCTTCTATAACAGACCAACGTTACGGAAATCACCTGGGCTATATCTGGTGCTTGCCATCCAGCCATTCTTGATAGTCATCATCCTGGGACTATCTTCCATGCGTCACTCGGAGCCCCTGAGCAAGGGATTCGGCCTCGTCTCGACCTTTTCGGGCATTGACAGTCAGAGCCTGAGCAGCTTGGCGGGATCATCTCTTTTAGGGGAGCTTTCGCGGCCTGTCAAGCTTACAACGTCTCCCGTTCAAACTGGCGGCACAAACACGATACAGTGTCGTGCAAGAACATCTTCAGAAGGGCGTAAGCGGAATGGGAAGCTATCTAGGAACGTTGTTAATCACTGAGGTGAGCATAACAAGTATTGGTAAGCAAATATATGCATGTTTTAGCATTATCCCATCAACTAGGAGTATAGATTGCATTGATAAACCAGTTTCAAGCCTTCAGTCTTTCTCTAAATCTGCTCAATTTGCATCTTTTTCACAGGTAGATATGTGGTGGTCTTTTTCCGGCTTGACAGGCGCAAGAGATCAACCTCAATGGGATGAGGCTCACATGTGAGTATAAGAGAAGGTTAGGTTGATGTGTGATTTATGATTCCCTCTTACAAAGTATCTACATGTATGTATATGTGTATCAGTCCTACATAGTATTTGATGGGATAAAGCCATTAGCTTTCCTCAGTTTTTCCAGAACTTGGACACATCACAACGGACATGACAGTCATGTGTATTGCGGAAATTGGCACCTCAAATCGTTCAAGTCAATAACAACATTGATTGTAGAGCGCCTGCGAAAAGAAGTCTGAGGACCAGGTATCCGGGGTATCGAAAGAGGACGCAATTAAGAAGGCAATAGACGCCGGGGCTGGGGCTCATCGCAAAAAGACTGACTGGTAAGTCTCTGGTCAGAACATCAGAAGCAAGCGCAAAGGTAACGCAACAGGAACAACCAGGCATGCCGCTGACTACAAGACCTCTCTCCCTTCTTTGATGTCTGACCTCAACCTACAAGGTGCACTGAGATCCTACCTGGCCAGAAAGCAAGACCACATGTAGCCAAAACCAAGGCTTTCTCACAGTAGTCTTCGACGAAATTCCATCCACGCCAAGCCTCAAGGCGAGCTCACAAAGGCAGGCATCCGCAAAGACTCGGTCGTCTGACTGATCTTCCTTTGATACGGCAGACAAGACCGGGTTCTCGACTCTGCACCTTCCCGAGATAGCACCACGCCACGAGTTCCCAAAGAGCAATTCATCCGTTCAAGAAGACATCTTAATTCAGGTCCCAACACAAGAACTCGTCGGCACAGAAGTAGCTGGCCGTAGGCAGTCGAATCGGAGGATTTGATCCTGAGCCCTACAAACCCTGAAGCTGAAGGAGGGCGGCCGTAGCTCTGGTCCGGCACTTTGCTGTTAGTATCTCATTGGCGAGTACGATGTACCGGCGGCCAAGTGAGGTGCCTGAGATGCGGGCGTGGCAAGTTCAGGGCCTCGTTCTCTTGGACCAACATCGGGCGTTCCACGGTACGTGGGATCGTCAACTTGGTCCTGGCAATTTCACATCAGCGTATTCGGATTGTTATCGCTGTGGAGGAGCAGATGGTGCTTCACTGCATGCTTGGAGTACGAGGCGGCAAAGTTGCAGATGAGAAGGCTGCTGCTATAAGTCTCTCGGTCCAACCAGCAGACATCAAAGTGCCATACCGCCAGTAGTCGAATCTTGAGCCGCAGGTCTCGCGACAAACGACAGCCAATGAAGCCAATATCGCAGCGAGCCGGATCAGTGGACATCCGTGACCTTGCTGAATGATCTTCGTTGCAGTTGGGATGCAGTAGGCAAAAGTCTGGGGGTGGCCGCGTTGGAGGGACCGAACTCATTTGAACGTCCCAAGAATCGCAAAAAAGGGAAAGTGTGTGCATCAAAAGATAGAGAGCAGGGTTTGGACGACGACCCGTCGTTTGAGCGTGGTCCCGAAATTGGTTCTTTCGCGTAACGGCAGGGCGGTACTGCAACGTCAACAACAACCCCCAGTTCACAGCAAGGTCCCCGCCAGGACCGGAGAATTTGGACCGCCCTTCGGTCTGGGATCTGGACCGTCTCATTGGAAACCACAGATTGACGACAATACTTCTGTCACAAGTCGAAGGATTTCACGGGACGCGTTTCGTTCTTACCCCAGAAAAGCCATAGACATTTGAGGGGTGTTCGCCACACCAGTAGCTCCTGAACCGAAAGCCAGATTGCCATATGAGGAAGCGAGCTGATGCCGTCGCCAACTTTGGAGGGTTGGCAAGCAGGCACAGCACAGCCACGATACGTTAGTGAAAGGAGAACGATAGGCAAGCATTTTTGACAGGTCAAAGTCACCTCACTAATAAAGAGAGCCCGAGCAGGGATGCCATGCGCCATTCGGTGGCTTGTTGACTGGTATCCGCAGGCACAACGGTTGTGCCATTTGCTGATCCACATCGAAGATCTCCTTTCTTACATCCAGTCAAGCCGACGATTCGGGCACTACTTGGTTCTACTGAGTCTTTGGGTACTAGGTTTGAGTTATTCGCCGGCACTTGTGTAGTCTCCTCTCGATCCGGGCGAATGGCCAGTGTGTCGGCGCTCGAGGGAATACAGAGCGCATACGGTCTTGTAACTGGGTCAAGATTGATGTGTAGGAGGTTGGAGATGAGGAGCGAGAGTTAAGTTAGAAAGCGCCGGCCAAGATATTCATGTCAACGCGGTACCAAAGTTGATTCCATAATGCTTGCTGGGTTTACTCGCTGCAGGCGCCGTATGCCAACCCAAACGATGCAAGTATGCGCTGTTGAGGGCAAGCCTGGTGTTCCGTTCGGCGCAAGCGGTGGTCGATCAGTGTCCCGCCAATTTTGTGACAAGGGTTGTTAATTGAGGCGACAAGTAGCCAATAACGACGAGTCAACGCTCATCTCTGGCCTGTCTGCCTCTAATCATTGACTCTCATCATGTAAAGATCGATCCATAGAAATCTCAGCTGAGCAGCACACTCGACTTGAGGCCGTGGTGCAGATGGTTTTGTCCAGTATTGCAATGATGAAGTGCGTTGTGAGAGGGACGGAACGCTGCCGCCAAGGAATCCAAGCGCGTACTCGTATTGCCGAAATGTGTGAACGGCTGGCTGCAGACAAAATGCTGACTCTCAGCCTCGATTTCCTTTCGCGATGTCTTGCTTTTTCTTTGCCGTTGCCGCTCCTGCGAACTGAGGAACGGCCCTGGGCATTAAAGGCATCCAACGGCCAGCGCTGGCGGATTTGATAATGGCTGTCGGTTGCATTGAACGCGCGAGACCGTGTCTTGGCTAGGCAGCTCGTGGCGTTGTCCCCGAAGAAGCCGCCCGTTTCTGGGTCTTTGGGATGAGCGTTAGGAGGGCAGCTAATATAGACGGGGATCCATGATTGTGGCGCGGCCTGTCGCCCTAAGAGGTTACGTCCAGTGTCCGTGAGTAGCATTCGGTGCGTCATCCATCAACAAGGTCAACTTTTTAATAGAGATTGGCTAGGGGGTAAGGTAGCTCTCAGCAAAACGAGTTCGCGTGCCCTTGGGAGCGGGTTTCTCCCGGGAGAAGTGGGGGAAACAACGGTGTTCTGGGCTTCGAGGCTTGAGATATGAGTCGGCCGCACTGCCAGCTCCAAAGCATCAAAGATAAGACGATTGGTCATCCAAAGATTTCGAGAGCAATCGAAAAGACAAGTCGGAAGGCGGTGCGGCGTTGAAAAAGTTTGCAAGGGCCGAGACAGCTGAAGAGTATACACTCCGATAGAAAAGTTGGCCCCCTGAGTATTCCCGTCGCGGAGCTCATGAACGACTAGCCCTGGCTAGCGTCCTGTCTGTCTCTCCAAAAATCGAGCCGCCCGAGTCAAGAAGGAGAGGGAGGTGGCACAGACGATGATTTGACGGCTGCCAATATGACGAATTGCTGATGACAAGACCAGGACGGCTGAAGGATTGCTGCTAAAAGCCTGGGACCACGGAGGGCTTTCCCTAGCCTAGCGGCGAAGCCAGGTGCCAGTGGAGGGCAGGCCAGGATGGCGACCAGCAGTCCCGGGGGGGGCCATATCAAGCTGTGTCTAACTTTGATGCTAAGGCGACTCGGGTGCAGGGATGCGCGGCACACCTTTTCAAGCACTGCACCACAACTTGGCATCTTGGATGGTCTCTTGCTAATTTCCCTTCCAAGGTTGAGATGCAGCAGCACACATGGCCGGGAAAACAACCGAATCCTGATGTTGCTTTGAGGCCGCAGAATGCCTGCATGTCAGCCTCCTCTCCTTTCCGAGGTGTCCTTGGGCCTTTTGGTCGCGAGGTATCCGTATATTGTATCTATGACAATTGCCATCCTATTGATGACCCCTGAAAGAGGAAACGGGCAAAGGCCATCTTCGCAAATTCGTCAGGCCTGGGAAGTCGTCCGGAGCGCATGCAGGGGAGCTTCAAAAGACATTTGATTTGCAATCCCGCGGCCGGGCTCGCCAGGCACGCCGACAGCCAGGGGTATGATTGACAAATGGGGCAGCCTAGTTCATGTTTTGCCGGGGCTCCGGATCGCCTTTCTTTGGTATCTTGAGTTATTTGCTGTCGCCGACAACCTGTATCCGTACATGGTGGTGCGGTTGCTACCCGAAGGACGCAGCGAGCAGCCATAAACACGCGTATATCGATATTCGTGGAAACGCCTCACCCTTGCTTGGCAGTCTTTCCAGCCTCTAGACTCCGATGCGACTTCTGCTGTGCCTCCGTTCTCCGAGCGTGTTCTGTTGATATGCGATCGCAAGGCCCGAAGATACATAGATAACAGTGGGGGCGCCATGGGACATTATTGCTGCTGCATTGCAACATGGTCCGTATCAAGGCAGAGCGACAACGGGATGCATGGTACCTTGTACGACTCCTATTGCGCCCTGATGGTGTTTACCAGGTCTTGGCGGCATCGACACGAGAGAAGCGCATGCGGAGCCTACAGAGACAAGTCATAATTGTTAGCACTGAGGCTGGTGATGTAGTTTGTGCTCATCATGTTCGAAATAAACAGCGGTTGTGGGAATGTGGGAGAGCCTAGGGGATCAATGATGGAGTATCTTTTTGCTTGGGGTGCGGCATACCGATTTGGGGCGCCACTTTTGACTTGCAAGTGGAGCGGAGCCTAAGTGCAATGGGCCATGGGCATTGCAATTGGGATGGAACGATGGGCGATCGAAGATCCAACAATGCTGGTGCAACCGAATTCTGATTATGGGCCGGAGCAGCAGTAGGATGCAAATCTGTTAAGCGATCCTTCGCTTGGAAGACTGCTTTGTAATATTTTGTATTGTGTCTGCCCAAAACTCATAGCCGGTACGCGCCGCAGGATGATGAAGCTGCTTCTCTGATATCTGTATCCGGTTCTCCTGTCGCATGGCTCATAATTAGCACCTCAGGCGGAGGCAAGCGGATCTAAATTCTTCATCCATAACTTCGGGTCTGGTATCCGAGCAACGGCATGGCCTCCGGGTGTATTAAGTTGGCGTTGATGGCGTTTGGAATGTAAGTGGACGAGAAAGGCCGGTGTCGAATGTTGATAGATCGTCATGTGCTCGACAATAATACTGGACTGTCCACTCTGGGATGTGTCTTCATCTCGATTGTATTCCTGGCGTTATGGCGTTGTGTAACTGTGGTCTGCCAACCGGGATAAATGCCGTCGAAGGCCTTTGGCGGTGTTTCCAGGACCTATGATATCCACCTTTGTTGTGCATCCCGTTGGTAGTCTTGGCGGTCGAGTGGGACTGTGCAAGGAATGGGACGCCAACAACAGGCACCGCCAGGCAGGATGGGGAATTGGAGTCTTTGGAGATGGGGATTTCGGTCCACCAGTCTATGCCGGTAGGGTCGCAAGCAGGCGGGCATCTGTGGTCCTCCTGGCTGGCTTCGGTCGTCGTCTCATGCAAAAGAGGGAAAACCATGGCAGAGGCGATCGAAAGAGTGGGACAGGTCGTGCTTGCGGCTTGCCAACCAGGTTAGAAAGGCACTCCCGTCGATAGATCATGGCAGCGCGTCCGAAGGTCCGGCCGATGGGCAGAAAGAAGGAGTTGGGGAGGAAACACCTGTTTCGTGCTTGACCTAATTGAGCCATGATGCGAACAGATTCGAGAATTCGTGCCATAATTACCGAGCTAGCTACGCATCAGCGGTCTCTGCTATTCTTGCTGAATCATATGTGTTGACATTGGTAAGTTGTTGCCGTGAGGAATCCGAGCTGGCCATTGACTGGCATGTGGATGACCGATGATGAGCTGCCTAGGGGCACTGGGGGATGGGATAGGATTGTGAATGTTGGAACGGTAGGCGTTGGACCGTGCACAAGATGACGGATAGCCCATACACAGTAGACGTTGGATGGCACCGTTTTGGTCGCAGTGCTGTTCGTCCGTACCTAACCCCGTACACAGGGAGATGAAGGAGGTTCGTCGGTCCGTTTTTAATGTCCTTGAGTAAGGTAAGGAAGGAACACTGCTTCAGCCTACCTACCTTACTGTACCGTAAGGCAATAGGTGCGAGGAAGCCCCAATGACTGGAACACTCGTCGCAACTGCCCGATAGTGTTCAGTTGGTCAGAGGGAAGGAGACACGAAACAAGACGATTCATTGGCAACGTCTTGCCATGGTTCGGACGGAAAGAGCCACCTCCATCATGTTCGTTGGACTTCTGACTTGCTTCCTCGTCCAAGGTACCATGAAACCTTGGGGTGCACCTGACCGAACAGCTGCCTTCCCAGTTCATCTGTTCTCTCAGACACTTCAGGTTGATTGAGGAGTGGATTCGTCTTCCATTCTGGAAGGAACAGATCTGAGCAAGTGTCTTCACGCAAGGTATTCGTACCTAGGTACCTTTCTCGAGGCGGGGGTATTCCATTTGATACAGTAGGCACTTCCAATGCCTTCTGTTGTTCTTCTGCATGCATAGAAGTTGGGCACAAGCTCAACCATCATCTAGATTCCTATCACCTTATTTCAATCTGTTCGGGGTCTCTCTTATTCTCTGTCGCTGCCTGATTGACCGTCCCACATCAGGAACACGAAATTTCTCTTGCCAAGCAAACTCAATTCGCAAAGGAGAAGAAAACCAAGAGAAAGGTGGTCCGAGACACCGTTCTTCTGTCTGTGAAATTGACACAAGCTTAGGCATTCAGGGTTGCTCTTTGGCTTTTCCACCTTGGTGCTGTCTTTCCCGATGTATCGGTTTCCCACGGAGACCCGGATCCCGCCGGGCCCGCCAGGCCTTCTCAACGGTTCCGTCCCGCCCGCCGATTGACGTGGGAAGTATCTGCGTCAAGAAAACTTGCAAGCCACCAGCAAAGTACTCGCCCGAGACTTTGAGCTCGGCTGCCTTCTGGGGATACGTTATCCCCTTCAAAACGTTGGCCCATAATCTCCCACATGGGACAGGCCCAAACTGTCTGGCCTGTCAATCCATCTGTCATCTGTCTATGTATGTACTTGCTTACGGAGATCAACAGTTTGCCAAGTCCGTACTGTACTGCGTAGACCCTCGCCCTCCCCTCCCCACCTCAAAGAATCCAACCAGAAGGTTGCGCACTCACGGTCCCACGCTAGGTCCGACACAGCCACAGGAGAAGGATGACTTTGACGTGTTCTCGCGTTCTGAGAGTGCGTTGACTGCGTCGTATACCTTTGTTCTGCCCCACGTTGGAATACTAGAATACGGCCCCTCTGCCCAACCCCTGAGCAGTGAGCACGCCAGTGGCCGCGACGCGAACGCAGAGGCATGATGTAGTGTCGCATTGGCAGACGCTGTTGACAGCTATTGGCCATGCCTCAACACGCAAGTCTGCGGGTTCTGTCCATTTTTTTTTTCACTTCCCAAAGAAAGAAGCGATTGCTGACCTTGCCGGGGAAAGACAGACTACAGTGCGTGAGTGCCTCAGATCTGCGGGTATCAAGCCGTACTGCGAACAGGGCGGGTGGATGCCATCCCCTTCTCAACTCTATACGGATAGGACATACGGCGAACCCCGTTTTTGCAGTGGTTAGGCGTTGCGTTGTTCTGGCTCGGACGTCCGGCCTGCGACCTGCAGGATAGTCAGAAGAGTTGCGGAAGCCACGCCACGACATGCACAACCACGCATACACAGTACAGAGGTGGCAGAGGAAGACCGGCGGGATGGAGTCCAACATCTGCCAGGCGGGCCCTACTACCAACGCTCGGGCACCGAGCTGACATCCATCCCCTGGTGGCCAGCAGAGGTAGGATGTTTAACGCTGCTGGTCTACAGTATCTCGTTGCTTACAGATCCCCAGTGTCTGTTCCCTCGTTTGCTAACGAGTTGGAATGGGGTGCCTTGTTGCATTTTCCTACTGACTTAGCTGCAGTAGTCTGAGGGCTGCCGGTGTCTGCCGTACCCTTACCAAGCTGGAGCGTACAGATACAGGCTACCTTACGCAGTACAGCAGCGTTGTGCTTGGACATTTCTTTTCTTTCTTCACGGCCATCCCAACTTCCGACTCGTCCGCCCTGTTTGCCCGGCTCTTGCGCTGCAAGGCCTTGCTTCTGCATTGCATCACAGAAAATGGAATCCAGCAACCAAAGACGCCTTGTGGCTTGTCAGATTAGCTCCCTGTAGCTTGCCCTGCCAGGCTTGACAGCAGGGACTACAAGTACGAAAGTACGCAGACCATACGGAAGAGTATCTTTTTCGTATTCATGTCCCCCTCGAATACTGGCTTGAATCTCAATTGCTTTAAATGAGCCATTGAGTCCCAATTGATGGCTCTGCCTTCTCTCGGGCACACATTCTTCTCAATCTGCTTTCCTTCCCCCTCGGGCCTCACTTACTGATCCAGTTGGTGACATTCGGCCCGTCGGATTTGGATGGGGTTGAACCATTCCTTATCGCCCGGTGCAAATTTCATAAGCCCTTTATTTTCTTGTTGCTTCTGATCCAATCCAGCCTAGTCTGACTACGGATACAAGAGTGACCAGACAGGGGGGGAGACATGCCCGATCCAGTCAACAACTCACAACCACGTAGGCCCCCAAGCTAGCAGTGGAAGATCCCGCGCGCACTCGCCGGCGGTGTCGTTACTCATGGGTACTTAGACCGCCAAGGAGTAGATAGCGCTATGAGATGTTCGTTGGGAAATCGCTACAATGTGTAGATGTTCGCCCGGGGTTATGGGCTCCTTGATGCCTGGGTACCTGCAAAGACCTAACCCAAGTGCCTACCACGCAGTAGTACCTAGGAGTCTAGGACACTCTGTGATCGGAGATTTTGGTACAGGGAAGCGGCCTCTCTACGAAAGCTGCAAGGAGGTGGACTGTCCAACCTATGGGGACACAAAATGCCTCCCGAGTTCCCGGGGAGGAGAAAAGAACCAAACGGGGCCACCTCAGTGCACCTACATAGGTAGGGTAGGCATGTACTATCTGCCCGGGTCGGTACGTATTCAACTATCGGATGGGTACCGACTTTTGGTGGGATGCTGTACAGCGTACGCAGTATCTGTACCGCTAGGAGGAGAGGTGAGGCATCTACCCAAAGTACCTACATCTTCATTGGTCTTACTCCAAGAGAGTAAACGTTGGCAAGGGAAAATCAAACATACGGGAAACCATCGGCAATTCTTTCTCCTTCACGTTTCCCTCGAACTTTCTTCGAGCTATGCATTTGTCGATAGACGCACAGCACAAGCCTGGGACTAGGTACGGGAAACTCATGATCAGATCTGTGACAATGCCGCCATGGCAGCAAGAGATGGAGGCAGACTACGGCGTACTTGTCAGTCCATGGCAGCAGAGATGACAGGCATTGGGATTTGAGAGAGAGAAGTGCCTACCATGCTGCCCCAATCCAATATGCGCCAGGTCCCAGTCAGTTTAGTCCAGTCCAGTCCATCCCAATCGCAACCCACTTTCGATCCGATTGCCATCCCATCCCATTCCATCCGTTCTCCCCGTCTCCAGTTTCTCCCATCCGTCCACGTTTAGAACGGTGAACTGGTGCCTGACCGGGAGTCTGTCTGTGAAGTGACTGCTTGGAGACTGGACCGGTAGAGTGAGGAACTCGCCCATCCCGGCCTGTCCTATTTCTCTTTTCAATCCGCTCTGAGACACACGCCCAGAAATGTCAATATTTTTGTCGCCATCTCACTCTCCGTGCCCTCTTCCTAGAGTTTGTCCTGCGCTTTTTCTCTCGTTCAGTCTGTTTCTCTCTCCTTCTTTTTGTTAAGATAGCTAGCTGTGCGTATGGATCTGTCTCAGTGAATTTGTCTACGTTTACCGAATTGGACGCCAGTCAATTACGCAGTAGAAGCAAAGTACTTTGGTAAGGTAGTTTGTCAAGCATCTGTGCCTTAGGTACCTACCGTAAGGTAATTAAGACACAATCCTCTCATCGCCGGCGCCTACATCCACGGTCCACGCCCGTCCTCCCTGAACCCCCCTGTCCCTTCCGTCCTTCTCCTGCCTTCCGCAGACGCCGCCCACCTCATCCTCCATCTCCTCCCCAAATTCACCCACGTACTTCCGTACCTAAGATACGTCGTGCGCACGGCACGGCCACACTGGAGACTTTTTTTTTCTTCCTTTCCCTCTGCTCCTGCTGGCACCGCGTGGCTCTCTCCTCATCCCATCATCCCAACTCTGTCACCGTACCTCCCTACAACCCACCCCTACCTCCCTTTTACCTAGTCGTGACTTCCCTGGCTGGCATCCGCAGAGGTGTCTTTGCCCGAAACACACCACGCTTCTTACACACCTCCCGCACAGCCCGAGGTACCTCGCGTGTTCCTTGGTACCTGCCTCTCCTGCTTTACTTTTAGACGCCTCCTCCAGCCATTGCCGCTCTCTCCACCACCTCTGGCTCACTCACCCTCCTTCTATCATCCCGTCCCAATTCTCTAAACCTCTCTACCCTCTCTACCTTACCTCTTCCCTCCATATCCT